ATAAATATGCCAGCTCTCTCCCGGTTTTCTCAATTTGCGTACTTTTTTTTAATGCTATCTGTCTATTGATTAATCTGTTGGTTTGGCTATATATCTAGCCGCGCAGGGCATTTCTGTTTGCTGCTCACCAAGAAACCTCGAATTTCTGCCTTCAAAATGCATTATGCAAATGGTGCTGGCTTTGCATACAACTCCCCCTGCCTTGCACTGGCTGCTCCCTTCCTTCTCTATCCAACTATTTATTTATTTTTTGCGCGGGGCTGTTCATAACTCTCTGCCGAGAAGGCTTCTCGATTTCAGCGCTCACAATAAGTGACGCAATCAATACATTGTTATGCAAATACCTTGGTTTTTGCATAACGACTTCCCGTTTGCATGCCTAATTTGAAACCCGATGCTTGATGATTGGCACGGCACTGAGTGGTTGCGGGAGCAGCAGAGTAGGAACGGAAAGTGCAGGAAATTTACTTATTCATGATGAATATGAATCGGCACCTGCAAGAGGGCTCTGCCCCGAGGAGCTGGTGCCTGGGAAATTTAACCCAGGGCAGACAAAGGAGAGTGGAAGGGGAATTGAGAGGCGAGGGGTAAGAATGGAGAGGGAAAGGTGGGTTTTGGTGAGGGATTTGAACAAAGTAAGGCAAGGGAGGGACCTATGGGGTGTGTGGTAGAGGGCGATGGTGAGCCTCTCAGCAGAGGCAGACTTAGGGTCGTTCAAGTGGGACACTGGGCACTGAGCTGAGGAGGTGCCATCTCAAAGCCCAGTAAGCAAGGGTCTGGGCTTTGGGAAGAAGGCATGAGGGCATTGACAGGGGTCCTAAAGTCCTCCTGCCTTTTCCCCAAAAGCCTAATTGGTGCTTTCTCAGCTTTGGGAAGGAGGAAGGAGGACTCTAGGACCAAGCCAGAGCCTTGTGCCTCCTTCTAAAGCCAGGCGTCGTCTTAACAGCCTTTGGGAAGACAGCAAAAGGACTGGGTGGGTGGGTGTGCCAAATGTTGGTCTTGCACAGGGTGCCGTTGTACTACTACTACTACTACTACTACTACTAGTAGTAGTAGTACAGCCTACTGTAGAGAATGAAGCCCTGAGTCTGAAAAAATTCCCCACCCCTGAAGCCATTTGTTCTGGGGCAGTTCCAGGTATAAGAGAACAAGTTCCCTAGCACAATTGTCAATTCCCTAGCACAATGTTTTTCCAGGTTGATATGGTACTTATTTAGCCAATGATGCAGCTGTTTCTGGGGCAGCACAGTAGTTTATAGCAGCCCTTGCACCTGATGCTCACTGAACGATAGGGTGGCCACCTATGCATCGAGGAAAGCAAGGACCGGAGATGTTATGTCCTTAGTGAGGTTTCCACAGGAGAACCTCCCAGTAGATATGTTCCCTATGGGAATCACCTTCATCTTCCCCTGTCTTGCCTTTAATGGTGGTACCCCAAACCCACAGCCTCACCATGACTTGTGGTGGGGCCTCGTCTGCCCCGGATGCCTGGGTTTCCCCGCCTTGCCACAGATCGAAGACCACCAGGCAGGTTGGATGGATTCCAGAGGGAGGCAAGGAGTGATTGTCTCGCTCAGGTGGCTGTGCAAGCACGAGCCTTCTAGGACAGGGTGTGTGTCTGTGTGTGTGTGTGTGTGTGTGTGATTGGAGACAGGGCAGGGAAGGAATCACAGCGTGAAGGAAGGGCACGGCGGCAGCAAAGTCAGGGCCCGCCGCATCATTTGGGCTGACAGCTAGCAATTACACTGTGCGATAGCCAGATTACTGCAAATGCATTTATTACAGGGCTGAGGAGCAAGGGACTTATTTACTGGCAAATCCATACTCATTACAAGACTCACCTACCCTGGCCACAAAACAGCTCAAGTGAAACAAACAATTATCGAAGGCCTTGTGGGACCACAACCATTTCTCGGGCTTGGAGGGTGGGGCGGGGCAGGGACACAAGGAGAGAGGCAGGACAGGAAGATGTCTGCCTCTCTCCTCGTCCTCCTTTCCTCACTGCTTCTATCTATCCGTTACAGTCCTTACCACACTATATACCACGAGGGTATATAGTGTCCCCCTGTGTGGTGCCCTCCAGATTTACTTATTTTTACTACAACTCCCATCGGCCCTAGTCTGACCAGCCAGTCATCGGGGGATGATGGGAGTTGTAGTCCAACAACATCAGTTCTAGCCAACCTATAGAGGGCACTTGGTTGGGAAAAGCTGGGCTGGAGTGTGCCTCAGGAAATACATTGTTGTAGGTAATTGAAACGCTCTTCCTCAGGAACCCCAAAGTATATCCACCCACAGAGGAGTCTGCCCACTGCATCTCTGCATGAGTGACTGTTCTAGCTGCCTTGCCTTTCAATCCACCTCTATTGGGGATGGTATTTCTGCCCTGTATTTGCCTCAGGGTGGGTGCTGCTGATTGAATTGTTCAGTGACTCAGGATAAGGCAGCTTCCTTTGTTCCTCTGTATTCACCAGCAAGGAAGCTCACCCAAGACTCAATGGCAAAAGAGTGGGCTCATCAGGGAGTACTGTCAAACCCGGAGCCAGTCTGGCCAGCAGGTTCAGGGAGTTTCTCCATTCCCACTATTTGGCAAATGGGCACGGTGGGGAAAGGGTTTTCAAAAGTCCTCTTTGTGCCAGGACTCTGAAATGAAATGCTTCAACTCCTCTATGGATACCAATGACACTTTAAAAACAATGTGGGAAACCTCCTGTTGTCAGAAGATAAGGCTATCAATGGTAGGAATGAGGGAGGAATTTGATTCAGTTAGCAATTAAAGCTGAATCTGTAGCATTCAAATTTTACAAAAAAAAAAGAGAGAAGTGAAACAAAGCATGCCTTTAAAATCCAACTTTTCTGAATTTTCCAATGTAATTCTCCAACCAATGTTTACAAAAATGTATATATTAAGGGAAAGTGCACACGAAAATGAATATATTCAGTGAAAATTGCATATGAAATGCATTACAGTAGGATAAATTGCATGCAAAACTGTGTACGTTTTCAAAACCAAATACAAAAATGAGCTTCTTAGGAGAAAGTGGCACTAAAATGCTAAAGAATTTTCCTGAGGATTTAAAAAAATAAATATAATAAATTGCAAATTGCTGTGGGAATGTGGAAAACTGAAACTTAAATTGGAATAACAAAAAACTGGGGAAACTGACATCAAGGCCTACTAGCTTGGGAATGTGCTTCTGAATACCAATCACTGGGGCTCACAAGCAGACAAGTGATATAACACTCAGTTCCTGCTTGAATGTGAAAGTGTTGTGTGACCTCAAGGCCAGTGTGGCTTAGTGGTTATGATGTCAGGCTAGAGCCTGGGAGACCAGAGTTCAAATCCCCACTCAGCCATGAAGCTCACTGGCGGGACAATGACCCTTAAGGCCAGTCACTGTCTCTTAGCCTAATTCACCTCACAGTGTTGCTGTAAGGATAAAATGGGGAGGGAAAGAACCACGT